TTAAAAGAAGTATATAGAAGAGAATATATCCGATCGAGCTCTTTTAAAGACTTTTTTAGCGCGTTTATAAATAGTAGTAAATAGCTATTAAACTCGCTTACGGCTTCGATTATTAATAATAGCGAATTTATTAAAAGATAATCTAAAGGCGTTAATAAGGAGTTTAAAAGATAGATAAAAGAAATATATATCTTAGATACTTAGCAACACTTAAGCGAGAGATATCGAGAGCGAATTTATTTATAAATAGTAAATTAATAGAATTATAGAAGAAGAATAATTATATAAATAGATAAAAGAATTATTATTTAATCTCGAACGCGTCTAATATAACTACTATAACTATTATATTTAAATATTTATATAATCTACTAATAGTAAGTTAAACTTTATTATTTTTATAGCGTTAGAAAGCGTATACTAAGCTCTATAATTTACTAAATTATAAAGAAATAATATTTATAGAGAGCTAATTATTTTAGAGTATAAAACTTCTATATATAAATTTTTAATAAGAGAGCTCGAGAGAGCTAGCGAGCTAATTTAGTTAGTCTAGCTAAAAGACGTAATAATCTCGAATTAATAATTAACTATATATATAAATTTAAGATTTTCTAATTTAACTCTATCTTATTCTTTTATATATATTAATTTTATATATATACTCTTAATATAACTCTTTTATTTTAGAATAAATTAATATATTATTTAAATATATTATATAGAAGATATTAATATATAATTTAAATACTTTATTTATAAAATTAAAAGATATTATTTAATACTTAAATTAGTTATAGCGAATTCGAAAAATAATTTTTTATTTATCTCTCTTTTATATTTATATTTAATAATATATCTTATAAATATTAACTTTAGTAAAGTACTTTATATATATAAATTTTTTTAATATTTCTAAAAATAGCGATAATAAATAATTATTCTAAATAATTATCTTATTAAATTTTTAATAATAATTAATATAAAATCGTAATAAGTTATTTAATTTTTTTAATAAATAGTATTAATAAGCTAATTTAACTAATTAAGAGTTAAATTTACTTTCTTTTAAGCGTAATATTTAAATAATTCTTAATCGCTATAAATTTATTATATAATATATTATAAATCGAATTATTTCTAAATAACTTTTTAGATAGTAAATCGATAGAATATTTAATTTAGTTATATATATTAAAACTATTAAATAACTCTTTTAAAAAAACTTTTAATAGATTTTTAAGTTATTTAAATATATTAAAGTTATTTAACTATATAATATTATATTATATAGCTTTATCGTAATTATTTTTATTATTTTTAAATAAAATCTAATATAAATATATAATAAATACTTATTTTAAATTATATATAATTACTATATTAGTTAATAACGTAAATTACTCGCGCTAATAAATATTTAAATCGATATTATAAATTTAAGAAAAATTAAAAATAAGACCGTATTCTTATATATCTATAGTATACGCTTTTAAGATTTACTCTTACTTTCTTTTTTAACTATCTATAGAATTAAAGACTAAATTATACTTTTTATATAAGAATATTTAATAATTATTAATAATATATATTATTATTTATATATATTTAAATTTAAAAATTTATATTTTTTTAATAAAAGATTATAATATAAAGATTTTCTCGCTATTAATATCTATTAAAGTAATTATTTTATACTTCTTACTTAGTATAGTAATTTTATCTCTTAATAATAGAGAGCGAGATTATTATTTAATTAATAATATATTTAATACTATAGCGATAAGTATTAAACTTTATCTTTTCTCTTATTTAATTTATAATTATATATTTTATTACTTATAATATAATTTAAATATTTAAAAGAATTCTTATAATATCTTAACTATTTATAATTATAATATTATATTTTAATAAAAAATATCTTAGATTTAATATAATAGTCGCTATCTTTAAATTTAATTCGCTTAAACTTTTAATCTTATAACGCTAATAAAAATAAACTCTTCTTTTAATCTTATTAACTCTTTATATATTACTCTTTAAACTTTATATATTATTAATTACTACTTTTTTAATTATTTATCTTATTATTAAAGCGAGTCTTATTTAAAATAAAGAGCTTTTTTATTTTTTATAGTCTTTATTTTATATTTTAATATTATTATAATAGTATAATATAGATAATAAATTAAATAATTTTCTTTACTACTCTATCTTATAGATTTTTTATATATTCTAAATTAATTATATAATAATCTTATTATAATTAGAGTATAATAAGATAATTATTAAAGCTAGTTATCGACTATATATCTTTTATAACTACTTTAATTAACTAATATTCTATATTATAAAATTTAATAATTATATTATAAACTTAATTTAAGTATTACTCTTTATATTTCTCTTAGATAGATTTTTCGATATTATATAATATTATATCTCTAATATTTCTTTAAATTTACTTTTTAGTATTTATTAAGAAAGTAGAAGATTAGCGAGTTTTTTTTTCTTTATATATAAAAATTAATATAAGATATTAAGATAATAAAATTTTTATAGTTTTAAAAAAATATAACTATTAAGCTATAGTTATTAAGATATTAAATATTAAATATCTTAATAATAATTATCTTTTTATAGCTTCAATTATAATAATAATTATTATTATACTTATAATAATATTTTTATATATTCTATATTTTAATTAATTTAAATTTTTTAATAACTAGCTACTTTTTAATATTAAACTTTAAAAGTTAATAATATTAAATTTAAATTAAGTTTATAAAGTAAAAATCTTTATTTATAGATAAAGAATTATTAGATATAATACTTTAATAATTATTATTTCTATTAATAATATTATTAGAATTTCTATTAATATTAAAATTAATATTATAATTACTTAATTACGTAGTAGATATATTTTAATAAAAATCGCTTATTAAATTAAAAATATCGCTAATTAATTATAATAAGATATTTCTATTTTATAAATTAATAGAATTAATTCGCGAGTTATTTATTATAATTAAATTAAGTAATTTTATATAAATAAAGTTATTAGAATTATAAGATAATAAGATTTTTTTTAATAAAATTACGTAATAGCTATATAATTATAAAATCTAAATATATAGTTAATAGAATAAATAAATTAATAATTAAAAAAACTAATAATTAAAAAAAAAAAAAAAAAAAGAGAATTTATAAGTATTTAAAACTTTATTAAGTATATTAAATACTCGCTTTATCTACGTAATTTATAGTCTAATAAGTAATATAAGCGAGTCTATTAATTCGCTTCAAGTACTTTTACTCTTATATATTTAATAATTATAAATATTAATTTATTTACTCGCGATAATTTAATTAATTTAATTAAAGAGCGTAGTAACTCTAAATTTATAATTAGCTATATATATATAAATTTAAGATTTTTAATATTAACTTTATCTTATTCTATTATATATATTAATATAATTATTATAACTTATAATTCTTCGCTAAGATAATATCTTAGACTTAATATAATTTAATTAAATCTATTATAATTTTCTTTTAACTTTATTTAATCTTTTTATTTTATTATATTTATACGAGTAAAGACTTATAAATTAAATTTATAATTTTTTTTTTAATTAGAGCTATCGAGTAAGTAGATAAGCGATCTTTAATAAGCGAACTTTAATAAGCGATATTTAAATTTCTTACGCTTTAATAATTATAAGACTAAATTTTAAAATTCTTAAAAATTCGAAAAGCATAAATAGCGCTTTAAAATTTAAAAAAAAAATCAAAATTTTAATAGAAAATAAAAAAGTTATTTTATATATTAATAATATATATCTATTTTTTTAATAAGAAAGATATAAGAGAATAAGATTTTAATAATTACGAATACTAATTTATCTATTCGCGATAAATTAGTCGATCTAGTTAAAAAGCGTAGAGAACTCGAATTAATAATTAGTTACACATATAAATTTAAGATTTTTAAGCTTAGCTCTATCTTATTCTTTTATATATACGAAGATCGATATTAAAAATTCTAGATAGCGCTAAAATACTTAGCACTCTTAATATTCTTAATATTTTCTATATAGTTATATTTATTTAATAATAATACTTTATATAATTATATATATACTTATTAGCTCGCTCGACGAAGTTATATAATCGTATATTATCTTCTCTATAATCTTTTCTATACTCGTTATTATTTTTAAAATATATTATCTCTATAATATATCTCGATATTCGCTTTATTTACTTCTAAATTCTCTTTTAAATAAACTTATAATTTTAATAATATAGTTATTATCTTTTAACTTTCTTATAAATTTTTAATATATCTTTTTAAGTAATATAACGTTTTATTTATAATTAATAAAACTTAATAAGTATTTAAATTTAAGTCTTATTATTATAATTAATACTTTAAATATTAGATATATTAATAAAAAATAATTAAGATAAAGAATAATAAGAAGATTTCTATTTATTATATTATATAAATAAGATTTATATATTAAAAGTCTTTATACTCTTTCTCTATTTCTCTATATTATAATTAATACTTTAATATTATTACTATTATATATTCTATTAATATCGCTATTATATATATACTTCGTATATATATACTACGTCGCTATTTTATAGAGTATTAATACTTATTATAATAAAGAATAATAATGCTATTTATGAAATTTGAAAGTATACTAAGCACTCAGCCCTACCTGAACCCTTGTCTTGGCATGTCCAGGACTTTTGGTGTCGACCTCCGTACTGATATATAACGATTCTATCTTTTACTTACCTTTAGCTGTAATTTAAATAAAATTCGGCGGGGTAGGCTACTAGTCGGGAGCTCCCGCCCAGGGTTCTACAAAATGCTGTAAAGCCCTATCAAAGAACCAATTCCCGCCTTCTTCATTCGCCAACGATGCCGGTGAATTGGTCCCATCCGTCTCCACCGTTTACTCACCAGTATGGAAGAACGAGCCTCGATCCGTCCTGGGCTACCACTCCCAAATCCTACGGTATCATACTGGCAAGATCCTCCCTCTAGTCTTTCCAATAACAGAACCACGCCCGAACTTCCCACAACCGTAGACACTCTCATCATCGGCTCTGGCATTACTGGCACCACGCTCGCCTACAGGATCCTCAGTCAACCTTCTCCACCCTCTGTCCTCGTGCTCGAAGCCCGTACCGCATGTTCAGGCGCAACGGGACGAAATGGCGGGCACACTAAATGTGTCGCCTATCGTGAGGTCTTGGATAATATCAAAGATCTGGGGGAAGAAGAGGCTGTTAAGATAGCGAGGTTTGGATACAATTGCATGAGGAACGTACATGCTTTTGCTAGAGAGCATGGTATCGCGTGTGACAGTTGGCAAGGGGACACCGTCGATGTGATCTATGATCAGGCCCAGTGGAATAAGGCTCAAAAGGCTGTGGCAGAGCTCAATAGGGTGCTTGGTGACGATGACCCAGTCGCGCAGTATAAATTTTGGGACGCTGAAGAGGCTGAGAAAAGGTTCCTGGCACAAGGCTCTCTTGGCGCAGTCTCTTACGAAGCTGGAAGTCTGAGTGCATACAAGTTTGTCATCGGCGTATTGGCTCTAGCCCTGGAGAAGGGTCTGAACTTGCAGACAGAGACGCCTGCATTGAGGATTGGAAAGTACGAGAGTGGCCACAGGGGTTGGATTGTAGAAACACCACGCGGTGCCGTTAAAGCGGAGAGAGTGGTTCTAGCAACGAATGGATACGCAGCACATCTGTATCCACCACTTCAAGGCGTGATTGTGCCACTGAGAGGGCACATGACCGCTCAGCGACCTGGGTCAGGTCTACCAAAAGACGGTCTGGCAACGACATATTCGTTTATCTATGACGATGGATACGAATACATGATACCACGTCCACAAGGTTCAATGTTCGCAGGCGACATTATGATTGGTGGCGGTGCCACGAAAGGGCGAGACGAGGGCCTTTGTGAGTTCGGAACCACAGATGACACCACAACGGATGCTGTCATACTCAAATATGTCGAAGACAGCGCAGCTGAGCGATTCGGCTCCAACTGGGGCCATGACCATCCGGAAGGCCGTCTGCGCAAAGCCTGGACGGGAATAATGGGATACTCCTCAGACGGATTTCCCCTCATTGGACAGTTGCCTGACGAGAACGACCTGTACATCGCTGCATCTTTTCAAGGATCAGGAATGGTGTTATGCTTTGAATCTGCAAGAGCGCTATTCAAAATTATGAGCCAAGAAGACGAAGCGCTGGACCGGTGGTTCCCAAAAGTGTTTCGTATTACACGTGAGAGGATGAAGCGCAAGTTTCGAGGGAGACTCCACGCAAAAGTCCCTCCAATGGATCTTGAGATGAAGAGTCAACCATGATTTTCAACATCAAGACGTCTTAGGACGCCCTCCTATTTGGGACTCAGGCTTTTTGTCAAAACAGCAACCACCGGCCAAGAGCGACAGCATTCAATATTTCTCTGGATTTCCGACTACTTGTTTGAAATATCCATGCGGAAGGCTTGGGAAAGAGGGCATTGTCCTGGTAGAATCTACAAGACTGAGTCGACATTATCATATAACACTGATTATTACTACTCTGAATACGAGACCCATCTCGGTGCTAGAATAAATTTTTGAGCCTTTCGAGGACATTCCCTGGCTGCGGGTACCGGCAGGTGGCAAGAGCGCCGATCTTAGGTCGTGCAGAAAAGGTGTGGTGGCATGGCCAATCCGTTGGGACGTCTCGGACTCGAACCACACCGAGGCAAGTAAGGTCATGTCAAATCGAGGTCTCTTGAGTAGCATCTGACCAGGCTGGTAAAAGGGCATTCACAGACCTATTAGGCAGCATGTCGAAGACAACTAGAATGAGGACGAGACCAATGCCAAAGGCATGATGACTAACAAGTTTGGTGTACTGAAATGGAATGTTAAGCAGATAATAAAATCAGGCATCGATCTCCAACAGAAGCGTTGAACAGGTGTGACACCGCCCATCGAGCAACACAGAGAGGCTGAGCAAGAGTCCTAGGCGCCAATGAGCTGCATATCGAGTCGAATACCGCGAGGCTGGCACGGTGTCTGATTTGCTCTGCAACTCACAGGAGTACTGGACAATGCAGGAGAACTGCGGCCATTCTCTGATGAACGCAAAGGTTTCCAGGAAAGAGCAAGCCTAGACGCTCTTTAAAAGCTAGGTCGACTTTGATTGGATCAGATTGGATCAGCTGCCTCGTGAAATCTGCCTTTTGTTTTCATGCAGGACCTAAATTTTTCGGACGAAAGCCGATGGTGATGAAACCCCTCCTCCTAAGGTGCTCTGTTTACACTTTTACGTCGTCAAGTCTGGCGACTTAATCGCATTTGAAAACTAATTCGCTGAATTGACAGAAAAACAAGGCTCCACTTCGAGTCCTTTTGTCCGAGTCCTAGCTGTTGTAACTCATAGGAGAGCTCACTGTTAAATGAAGAACCAGAAGTATCAGTTGTAACGACCTTCTCGGTGGGTGTTTGGGTATCTTTACTGCAATTGGTTGGACATAGCTTCCCCTTTTCTGTTGGCATAAATTTTTAGAAATGGAGATGCAGTTGTAGCCCTGCCTACCGCTCTGGAGCCTTGTCCCCAATACACGTGGTGCATTCACTACAAGCCCTCGAGACGATACAAGGAGCAGCTCGAGTCATCTCTAAAATTGCTCTCCCTTTTCCCTTCTCTGTCTGAGTTCGGCGGTATATATATCGGCATGGCAGGGGAAGAGTGGATGAGACAGGCTATTATTAGCTTTGGTAAGCGTAGAAAACAACATGAAGATCAACCATATGCTGAGTTTGTTACAGATGGTGGTGGCATCAGAGGCTATGGTAGCCTGCTTATCCTTCGAGCGCTCATGGAAAAGGTAGGGATTGAGGAAAGGCGCATAGACCCTGTCGTCAAGTCGAGTTTCTCGCCTTGCCTGTACAAGCCCACAAAAATCGGGTTCAGCACACGCTATACAAACGACGTCGAGTCGTTCGAAGCCACCGTCGTGACAGAGACCAATCCAAGTGGCTTGTCCGAAGATTCTCTTTTCTTGCCATGTCATTACTTTGATTACGGTGCAGGGACCAGCACCGGGGGGTAAGTCATGTCAGCCGTTGAAGGACAATAGCTTACTGACAGATGTCAAGTCTTATCAGCATTATGTTGTTCTGTCTCCGCATGACGGTCCATGATTGCATAAACGAGTACAAGATCTTGGGCGATAAGATCTTCGGTCACCCAAGGCCGTGCTCGTGGTTTGGCATTCTGTGGCCCAAGTATAGCTCAGACTCTTTAAAGAATGTTATTAACGAAGCTACTGGAAGACATAGCAACACTGGGTACAGATTGAACTACGAAGTCGAGGAGCAGCTGTCCCAATGGTTCGCCGAATGCCGATATTCCGTTTAGTTTCGGAATTTTAGCTAAGCGCCTTTAGTATCGTTGTTGCCTACCCGGACAGCAACGCTCGCGGAGATGTGCCTTTCCTGTTCCGTACCTATGAGCCGCCACTCTTGGCTCGAGACGATGTATACGAGAAGTTAAAGTCAGATCCTAGACACCACCCATCGGCGATACCTTTGCACAAAGTGGCCCGAGCGACTGCAGCCGCACCGGCGTACTTCCGCCCAGTCAGGATTTTCCCAGCTCACAGAGGTAAACCTCTTCCTGCTATGCGATTCAAAGATGGTGGATTTGGGTGCAACAACCCCAGCGAAGAAGCTTATCATGATGTCGTCGAAGCTCATGGAGGACTCAGCCGAAACATCGGACCGTTCATAAGCATCGGAACAGGTATTGGAAAGTTTAGATTGTTTTCCAACAAGATTGGGAACTTTCGGGACGTCTGCGCGAATGCTACTGCAGCCCTGAAAAGACCTGCCTTGACAACCCTGGCCGACAAGTCCATGTCTTACCTGGCGAACTTTGATAAAGCGGAGAGGTTCCCTTATTACAGATTCGATGGTGGTGAGGTCCTTGGTGAGGTAGCCATGGACGAGTGGAAGACCCACAGATCAGAGAATCGCAGCCACGAGAAAAAGCAGCCGGGAGCCAAAACATTGGAAGACATTCAAAGAGCTGTAGAAGCATACCTGCAACAGAAAAGTGTGCAAAGAGATTTAGAAGATTGCGCTAAATTGCTGGTTCAGAGAAGACATTTCCGAACCAAGGACTCATCGAGGTGGGAGCGGTATGCGACGACCTCGTATTACCTGTGCAAGACTGGCATCTGTGAGAAGGCTCGCTTTGATACAGCTCTGGGTCTCAGGCATCATTTGGAAAGCTACCATGGCTTCGAGGCTCGCGGTACAGTGGATGAAATGCTAGAGCAATGTCGCAACTATTGGTGGCTCTACCCTGGTTGACGGTATTATTTTTAATGGGGTAATATCTAAGGGTGGTGCTTTTGGAATGATTCAGCTCGTATTGCAGGGGACAGCATTATCACTCGTCTATTTCATAAAAAGTGCAATGACCAGCGTTGAGTCCTTGCGATTGTACATTTCCTAAGACGCAAACATCAAGATAGTGGTTGAATTCATTAGAAACCCCATTTTTAAAATTTCGAGGTAATAGACATGATATTTCGCCAATATCAATAACCAAGTTTACAATTTGGGCCTTAAGTCGTTCTTCTTTGACATTTCCGGGTTCCATTTCCACGTTTGGCATGGAGATGGAAGCAGTAAGTCTTGGGCCTCCTACAAATAGGGAAACCTATCTACAGTTTTGGGGTAGCATTGTCTTACCCTTCCGCCTCCAAGCAGCGGGTCTCGACTGTAAGTGCCGCACCCAAAGCGGAACCACTTGAGCTTACCGACCCCTCACAGGCCATGCTAGCTCGTCTAGTTGGGTATTTGGCCAAAGTACAAGGCCCTGTCCGTCTCAGATCTCCAATAGTCTCTCAATCTGACGGTTCCGATCCACACTTGAGGATGCCGGGGCGTCTTGTCGGGCTTGATGTCGTACCTTCTGTTCGGAGCTTCAGCTTGAGGGTTTTCGCAGAAGATCTCGTATGCGCTCCAGTGCGCGGGCACTGTCTTCCTTTGGTGCCCTGTGACTGTTCCAATCATCAGCAAGGGTTTGATCATAGAGCGACTGTTCAGCGTACGACGATCGTCACTCGGTGATATTCGCACTCTGGCGGTTTGTCTCGTCTCCGGGTCAAATACCACCACCTCGGTGATCCTACTTGGTGATTCAGAGCCACAGCAGTTTCCCATGGTCGATCACTGCAGCAAGATGCCCTGATTTATCGAAAATGTGATTTTGAACTTCGGCGCGAAGACCCCGGATGCTCTCACTGGAGACTTAAAAGAGGTAGCAGGCTCAAGGACTGATCCATCTTTTGTACAGTGAAGCTGAAGGGTAGGTTGCCTACTGCGAGAATCTCATGAATATGCTCACGATCACGATAAGTCCCGGTAACAGATCAACGATAATCGCACTTCGTCCGCGAAGGCAGCAATTCAGAGATCGATTATCTGACGACGAAGTCGCCACCACTTTACCCATATGGACAATCATCTTGCACCCGGAACCAGTCCTGAAAGACGAAGACGGTTCAGGTGGCTGGAGGATAGGGTATGCTGTGCTCAACGCTTGAATTGCAGTCAAGGTGGTCAGGCAGCTTCTGCAATAAGCCTCTGTGGCCACAAACATGACCGAGCTCGATTCCCATGATATTGCGTGACCGGTCCCGTTTCAGATAGCCGTTTGAAGCTTATTTGGGCCATGTCTATGTGACCGACCCATTGGGCAGCTTGCCTGATCCTATACGCAGCGCCTCCGTCTCTTTTGACAATCACCAATACTGAGGACCCAGCCGTGCTCACTCTTGTTAGTAAGCATAGGCTTGTCTAATTCAAATCTGCATTCCGTTGGACAAGCAATCTGGGGGTGGACCTCCTCGGTGGAAGATTGGGGAGAAATCGATTCCGAGAAGCAGGCAAAGAAGCTAATGCTGAATGCCGGCTCCGCGACTGTCCGCCCATGACGAAATTCTGAGCCTTCGTAAGTGCTTCCCTTCCAGTGTTACCAACGAAGATCGGGGCCGACATCTTTAACAGACGTGACACTCCCAGCGAATAATGAAGCTTTAGACCTTAGTATGAGATAATCAGTGCAGGAGAACCTAGGTCCACAATGTATGAATCTTAATTTGCCATGAGATTCTACCCTTGCATTGAGGCGTCCCTTTTTAAGTATGATTTTGAGGATTATGGCTCTCTTTTCACTGTCTTCGGTCGCTAAATGTCAGCGTGTCTAGTTCCTTCTATGCATGCGTCCTTCCTACATCCTTCCATCCTTCCATGCATATTCCATTATTGTTCCTTTCATGTAGTTAGCCATAGATAGCAGTGCTTTGTTCTCCATCAGCTACATAATAGCTGATGGCCCCACCACTGAATCTACATGCATTCTACATCATCACCGTTGTGCCTCGCTGAGACTAAAAGCACGTGCTTCGTTGAGACCGGGACTTCGTCAGATACAAGATGTGCGAAATAGAAGCGGTTCCATTACGGAGAAGCGACTCGATGAAGATCGAGACTAGTTTGTTAGTGGAAATGTACAAGACTGCGGTTAACGGCGCCCTTACGTGTTACCCTGTTCTCTCATCACTTCCCTCGAGAACAGGGTTGCTCTTCCAACAGTTGCAAATGCTCAGAAGAATTTTTTTTTCCATCAGAGAAGTACAAAGCATGTCATGACGGAATCTGCATCTCGAGTGAGGGAGACGATAAATGTGTAGATGATGCCTTCGAGTCCTCCTTGACACCCACTTCGAGGGTTACTGCCGGCTACAGCCTTAGACTAGCACAGGGTCTTCGGCTCCCTTTACATCATCCCGAGCGTACGGTCTACACTCGGTCTCTCATACAAGCTGACTGGCCTATATCAGGTCGGATTGACGTCCCAAACCTGTTTAGGCAGTAGTCTCCGAGCTTGCCCGATCCTTCAACGTTGAATGCACTACATTGGTGGGATTTTTTCAGCTTGCCCTGGCGAGCTTGCAGGCTCCAATGCTGACGGTGTTTCAGAAAGAATAGCCACAGTCAAGCTTCAGGTGCGGCGCAATAGCTGCACCGTATGCGCATGGAAATGGGCCACGGCTGGGCGTCTTGGAGCTGAGTGTCAGGCTCTTCAAGTAAGGCAGATCCGTAGTCGTATTTGTGGGCACTGCGTGCAGAGGTTGGCTAGGCGCAAGAGGCTGAAGTACGTATCGGGCAACTGTCCGCAGTACTGACTGGACGAATTTTCAGGTTCAGGGTTTCATACATTAATGCTTGGGAGGTCTTTCAAGATCCAAAAGCCTCTCCGATGGAGCCATGAGTGCAACAGGGGTGAGTTGGACGCTCTGGGACAGGTACCGTGGGAGCAGATTGGTTAGAACAGGGCCGTCGTGGCGGTGTAAGAAGCCGCGCTAAGGTATGACCAGCAAAAAGGAGAAGACTACTGCATGCAGGCCTCTGGATAACCGTTATTGGTGAAAAGATTCCAGCTTGACCTGTGATGATTTGCCTTGCGAACTTCGTTCTTTGAGGCAAAAGCAGGCATCCGTCTAGCAGAACGACCGGCAGCACGATTGGCAGCCTAATGCTTTGTGATCAAACTTAGTCACGGCCTCAATCATCAGCCTTACTTTCGGTTACTGGAAGAGAAAAGAAACGAGCGAATTGCGAAATAGGGATGTACGGCGAAGGAAAGTAATACAATCTAAAACAACTCGTAGATCATGCGTCTCTGAAATTACCAGGCTGCGATTGCACGTTCCAATTTCTTAGCGAGATTAGCAAATACCGTGCTATAGGCATTCGATCGCTGTACAATGATCCTAGCAGAGCGCGTCGGTGACATTTCTGTAAGAAGAAAAGGCTTAGTATAACATTGAGGTTGCTCCGCAGAGAAGGAATGATGGCGCGAATCTGTGACTTCAAAGGCGCGAATCATTGGCCTTTCTAGCGACCTGAAGTAATGTGTGTTCAAGCTGTACAGCAGTGATGAATCCTATCCATACCTGTTTCACGGCTGCACAGTCGTTAACAGTAATGATTTTCGGCCACATGGTCTCTCTCAGGGTAAGAGGGCGTCTTCATCATGGCTGCAATGCGTCGATCGCGGAGCCTTCGTTCACTTTGAGCAACTTCGATGCTAACGATCTTCAGCTCCGGGGGGGGGGGTTGCTGTTCCATTGCTTCAAATCCGTGTTCCATCTCGATAACCGTGAAACATCTCACAGACTCCACTCTGGCTTTCAATGCTTCCGTCGCCAACGCTCAGCTGGTGTCTCGATACTGCTGCAAGAGTGATGTGGTAGTGTTTGAGGGCAAGGTGCATCTATGAAACATGATCAGGTATCTGTTCATGGCCGGGATCAAAGAGGTCTGCTGCCTCTGGCGAGGAAACTGTGTATAGATATATGAAGACTTCCTGGATGTTTCCAGCCGTCAAAACCAATTTGAGGACTCGCTCTTCGAGGAAAGCTAGGCATTCGATGATTATTTGGCCTGCTTCCGCCCACATAACACACTCCACATACAGTCCACCGCCGCGTAACGATGCCGTGAGTTTCGTCCCCTGTTGCCCTCCACCCTAACTAGGCGCTTCGATCATTAAGTGAGGTCGCAGGGAATCCACATCCAACGTTCAGGGTAATCATTCCCAACATACCGACGGTCCGACCACCCCACAAATAGCGGGTCGGACTCGTGACAATATCCAAAACGTTGAACAGTATAACGCGTCCTTGTGGGCCAGGCAAGATGCCGGGCTCAGCCGGGACGAATCTAGAAAACAGTACGTGGAAGACTGGACTCAGGATTGGAAAAGGAGAGGCAATTGAAGATAGCGATACGCGAGGTATGCAGGCATCTTGATAACGGACCGCTCGCTCACAAGCGCTCAGGATAAATCGAAGCTTGGAGATTCAGGCCGAGACAAGAGTCTTGGCTAGACTGCCTGCCTTGTTGTCGCTGAATAGATGAGGCACGCCCAAGTCTAGGTCACCAGGCTTGTGTCATGGTATGGTCGTTGTGTAATAATGGTACTGGTCAAAATCTGGGATTGACTCTGCAATGATATGGCGTTCACAGCTTTGAAGGAAAAGTCAAGGAGGCAAATTTGAATGGACAGGCATTGCATTCAGGGCTTTTTGATTCGAGAGCCTCGAATGGTTCGTCCGCTGGGAATACGTAGCCTTAGAATTGCTCCAATTCATGAATGGTTCAGCTCAACAGGACCAAAGCCCCAATCACACCAGTGGCAACCACCAACCCTACCAGCATCTTCACTACTCCAGGCTCAAGCTTCTTGGAATCACTTTCGATTGACCCGGCAGTCTCAGCCATCACGCTCCCTGTCTTGGTTCCGCTGCCTTTCGCGCTGGACATGTCTTCCCCAACCAAAAGGCGTTCCACAGTGACCAAGGGCTTGTACCCTTTGTCTCTCCTGAACAGATAACACCCACGGGCACAAGTCCGATGGAAGAAACAGAAGTTACACAGAGATGGTGGGGAAGGTGATGTTAGAAGAATGAGGTGAGTGTGGATTTGGAGGGCTGGGAGGATATTGTAGATGGCTACTAAGAAATGTCTCTTAGCTCCTTACCTCCAAAATTTTGGAAATGACTTACAAAAGGTAGAGTATCTGGGAACATGGAATTATATGCTTCTAACGTGCCTAGTTTTGGTGGGAGGCAAGAATTTGTAGAGTAGCTAACATGGAGGCTCAACTGGCCGTAGCCTCCTCTCGATAACAGAGAGCAACGAGATGTATGCCGAAGTTCGCAGAGACCATGTTGCAAGCCACATCCTTTATTCCACCTCCCTTGCGAGAATAGTGTTCACACCACCTTCTCTGGCCGTTGTTCTTGCTGCATTGCCCTTATGCACTGTTCGTTGACCGAAAATTATCAAAATTAACTTTTGGTTCCATTGAGGCTAAATCCATACTGGCGATCACACATTTTGTGAAACGCCTACAAGATCCAGTCCATCGTGGATGATTTGTGGAAGTTGCTCGAGGGTTTTGGTGGGTTGTGTTTGTGAATTTTATGGCGGGCTTCGAAGTTCAGACGGAAGGATTCTTGACCTTCCTGTTCATGGTAGGGCTGAGGGTCTTGGCATAGCGCACGCAGGAGAAAATAAGAAGCACCGCAACACCATTGTACCAGCGCCATTAGGAATCGAACCTGATACGAACTAAATACCTCCAACAACAGCAGGTCGATTGACATTTCCGTCATGCGCGAGCTCGACATATAGACCTACCTGCTCTTCCCTTCAAACTTGAACGAGGAAACGCTGATTCTTCCATGTTTCGTGTCTCCTCTCTCCTCCGATGGCCCTCCAAGATACGTAGGAGAGCTCGACGCTCAAGGATCGCGACAATGCTCACCCTTTTGAGTGTCGTATGCATCTTGATCGCGCCCTTCTACTTGATATACAAGCCCCCGGCGTATCTAGTACGCTATTTCCAATGGCGGTGGCCGGATGTCCTCTGGCGCGTTTCGACGTCTTCAAAGGTCATTGCACTCACAATTGACGACGGGCCATCCGAATACACCAACGAAATAATGCAGATTCTTAAGTCAAATGGTGCAACAGCAACGTTCTTCATTATCGGATCGCAAGTCGCAGGGCAGGAGGAAACCCTACAAGATCTCATACGCAATGGAAATGAGCTGGGGAATCATGCGATGTACGATGAGCCTTCGCGATCCTTGAGCGATGCCACCCTCGTCGACCAGATTCATTCCGTTGAAGGAATACTCCACGAGGCATACACCACCATTGACGCAGAACATCCTCCCAAATACTTCCGACCAGGTTCAGGATTCTTTAGCGAAAGAATGCGCAAGATGCTGGGTAGATTGGGCTACCGGCTGGTCCTCGGCAGCATTTACCCACACGATCCGCAGGTTCCTTTTTGGCGTATCAATGCAAGACATATAATAAGCATGTTACGACCTGGAGGGATCATCGTCTGCCATGACAGGAGGAGCTGGACGGCTCCCATGCTACGAAAGGTACTTCCCGAAATTCGGCGTAAAGGATATCGCATAATTACTGTCACAGAGCTGTTGAAGGAAGCGAGGACGTGAGCTGCTTAGATGCATTCTCTTGTTCCGTATAAGAAAGGGCTCTTCTCTGTCGCCTGGTTTACGCAAATGAAAAAAATGAAGAAGCACAAGGTGAGTCTTCGTTTTTGTTAGAATTCAACAAGCTGAATGGCAGTAATCGACAAAGTTGGGCGACGAAGTGGGAGCAGAAAGGCAACGCTTGAATGAGACTCTTCGCGAGTTGATCCCCTTTCTGTTTACTGTCGATTTGCTCTCGAGCGAAGAAGCTGAGGGAGTCTCTGAAGGCTTCGAAGACATTTCCCCCAAAACAACCTTCGAAGCAGGCAGGCGTAATCTATAAAACGTTGCAAACTTGGGGCCTTACCATTTATGCCTGTCTATCCAAGATAAGTCTCAGGTGTACCTGTATTATAATACTTCATCTTTGAGCTTTGCCTTGCTCTTCGGGCGCCGATTCAAGTACAACCTGCGGCGCATGCTGAGATTGGTGTCCTTTTCCATCTGACCTCTGCACTGTCGACTTCGACGCATGTCCGGCCTGCCACTTTTCTTGGCATTCTTTCTCCCCGACCGAACCGGGAGCACATTGCTGTCCTTCAAGTGCCAAAAAAACGCCCTGGCAATATTGAAAGTGAACCTCGAGCCGAAATCCGGTTTACTCTACAAGACAGGTTCTTTGGGTCATTCTATCCTATAGTGTGTGAAATTCGAATAGGGAAAACTGCGACTTTTCCTGACAATCGGTGTGTTGGTGCTCTTGCGGACATTGTTTCGGCACAACGATCGCGAGGCAACATCAGTATATGAGTGTCTCACTGTTTCATGCCAGACACTTATCGTCGAATTTTCGCAACTTATCGTGACCATGGGCAGCCCTGGAGTCTTAGTACATAGTAGCCTACCGTTGGCTGTCTCCAGCTCTGAAGACTTGTTCGTATGAAGGCATCCCTTGACCACGAGAATTCTTGCACCGGCTAATTTCGTATGACATCAGCTTGGGAATACAAAAGATGAATCGCCCTCCAGAGATGGTATCTCGTTTTTTAAATACGCTTTTCTCCTAGCGAGTACAAGCTGCATCATCCTAACATTCTAGAGCAACGTGTTCCTTGAAACCACTACTGGCCCTCATCGAAAATTGAGGCCCCTCTCGATCATTATGTTGGAGGTCGTGTATTTTGATCTAGGCACTCATTATCTGCAGGTGGTGCCCATGGCAGGCTTGGTTCCTGTGTACAACTACAAGCAGGTTGGAAGACTGTGGGGGTTTGGGTCCTTTGACTTGATCGATGTGGGAGCCGACGGGGATTTCATGGCTGTGCCATGCTTGAGCAAACTCGAAGGAGGTGATAGACATCTCGCTACAGTACACTGGGACGACCAAACCCCTTTCCATTTGAAGTACGAGCGGAGATTCTGGGTAGGACCAATGGATCAATGTATTGATCCCCTTCACTCTTGTCGAGAAGTACGCCACGAAACTGAACCTTAGAGTCTAGATAATGCTCTGCGCCAGACGAAAACACTTTCTCCGAACAATCCTGCACAGTCTGGCTCATCGACCGCTCCCAGACAACTAGATTCCAAGACCCTCTCTGCGCAACCAACCTCCCGGACCGACCCAGCACAACAAGTTTCTTCGAGCGACGATGAACAGCACACTCCAACGACGGACGAGGACTACGAAGAGGCAGATTCCCTGTCAAAATGGATGCAAATCGTGGAATGAAGCGCTTGTTGTGGCTAAGCTCCCGGTTCCGAGTATGGTGGGTCGACCTTTGATTGATGTGAATGCTGACTTAGTTGGGTTTGGTATGAAAAGGAGTTGAAGTGATGGAAGTGGATTCAATGAATACGTCGATGCTCTTGACATATCCGAAGGGCTGTACGTGAAGAGGAGCGAGGGAGTTGAACTAGGAGAGAACAGGTATCTATACAAGCAGAAGAGGTCATTATGAATTCAGCTGCTCTACTGCCAGAGCTGCCTATCAAGGTTAGTTGCGTGAGATGTCAGCGCTAATCTTGAAATGTATAAGCGCCACTTGGGGGGGACAGATTGTCCGAGTCAGCCTGACAGGGATGGTCATTGGACCCGGTTGTGAAACTTGGTTTCTGCTGCAGCTGCAGGAGGAGGCAGAAATGCGGTGAGAGTTGAAGCGCTGCGAACGATTAATAAAGCTGTGACTGTGAGTCAGAATTCCTAAAGTCAATGTCAGCAAGTTGCAGTGATTGGACAGAAGGAATGAGGAGTGATGAGTGATTTGAGCAGATTGCGCACGGAGAGTCCGGGCCTTTGCCAAGTGCGACTCCACGAACCCCCATTACAATATCAACATCTTCTCTCCAAGTACTCTACATCATTGAAGTATACGGTATTTATATACGAGGCAAGACTTAGAAGTACCTACCTTATATCTGTCACCGGCGCCTTGCTGTAGGGTTAAGTAAGGTATTTACGGTAGATCTATAAAGAAAGCCTCGTCTCTGAACCGGTTACCTCTCAATCTCATCCCTCTTCCCGTCTCTCAAACTGCGCCTTCCAACCGGCTCTACCTCCTTACCCCCTTTTCGCTTATCCCTCCTATCAATTTTGCATCTATCCTCCGCTCTGGAATTTAGTGTGAGACTAGGAGAGCATGGATGAAATTTGAGATTATGAGTCAGAGTGCGTAGCGCACACAACTTTTGGAATTTTACCTTAGTGACCAAAAAGTGGGTGAAAAAAAGAAAGTGCGCTTGCGGACTTAGCGGCCTCCCTTGGCACTGCCAGTCGACTCGTAAATTGTTAAATGCCTGGAAGTCCCCCCACTTCTGCCTGATCTTTTCTTCTTCCTTCTTACATCCTTCTTCTTCTTCTTCACCATCTCACACCACATACCTGACAAGACATCCATTTGATATGGCTGCCTTGTAACTGAACACATATATCCCATCTCTCTCTTCTATCTCCTCAACAGACAGGATAGCAACATTGTTTCAACTTACACACCCCACCAACTCCACTCCCCTCAATCCCTCAGATCTTCCTACCCAGGAATATCTGAATCTACCGTCTGCTTCTCGCATTCGCACAGGTTCTCGCTTCACAGCAACCATTCCCCTACACGACCACCAGTCGTTCGTCACGGATACTCCACAGAAATGGCTTTCTCAACCCCAATCACCGCGGCTTCCCACGCCAGCAACCAATACCATCAGCTTCTCAGACCAGGACTCGGACTTTGTGCTCTTCCCATCCACCCCAACCGCCCACACCCCTTCGACGACTCGCAGGAACACCGACTTCGTTCCGGCGACGCCTCGTACGGTCCCTAATCAGCACCTTGGCCAGACCTACAACGGTCAGCAACAATATCAACCTCGACGTAACTCTACTCAGCAATTTTCACCTTCTGTATCTCCTGTTCAGAATCTACGAGTGAGCGGCATCATCCAAGGCACTAGGTCTCTATCTTCGTCTCCGTCTATGCAGCAATTCAATAGTCCTACCGGTCAACAACTGCGCTTTTACGCAAACTCGGCTCCTTCTTCGACGACTGGCTTGCACCAACAGTCTCCTCGAACGCGGCCTCCAGTTCCCCTTTTCTCGAATAGCACTGGGAACATTCATCAGCAAAATCTGTCTACTATGGCTCTCTCCCACAACTTTGAAGGTACCTCTTCTCCGGAGGCCTCTTCCAGTTCAGAGCCAGAGCTAATCATTGACCTTTCAGACGTCCCCTCTGACAACATGTTTGACTTCACCAACGCCGATTTCACTGCGGCGCCGGATTCGGACAATATTCTCTTCGATGGCTCCCTAGACTTCGGGACACACTTCGAACCAATCAACGATCCGGCGCCGGCGCAGACGTCAAACCTACAGACCGTGTCACCCAAAGATCTCATGGTCGACTCTATGTCTGCGCCTCCTTCAGGTGCTTTTACCGATCTAACAACCCCTGGCACCTCCGCCTACGACTCTCCATACATGGCCAACAGCACCGAGACCTCGCCACTTTACGCAGAGGAGTCGTTCGCTGACGACCCTGAAAAGTGGCCATCCCTCTTCGATCCAATCGAAGAAGAGACAAACACCGGTCCTGTCTCTCATTTCGCGGGTGCCAGCCCTTCGCCGACCTACACCGCTCCGAAGATGTCTCGCAACGACTCGTCACCCGGTCAGTCATCGTCCCGATCCTCTCATCAAGGCCGCCACTCTTTCACCTCTGGCGTCGCTCCAAAGCGAAGGGACAAGCCCCTGCCGGCCATCACCATCGAGGATCCCAACGACACAGTGGCAATGAAGCGAGCACGAAATACCATGGCGGCACGGAAGTCTCGGGAGAAGAGGGTGGAGCGGACAGAGCAATTAGTCGGCCAGGTCACACAGTTGGAAGCAGATGTCGACTACTGGAAGAAAATCGCCATCGGCATGGGACATGTCGAGTGACTGCTATCGAGGAAAAGGAAGTGTGTATGTGCTCAAACTTGTGATAAACATGGTGTATTGGGGTTGAGATACCACAATTAAGAGATCGGCAGTATGAGCTCCATTGGGACTGGAGCGATGACGCTGTCGGCCGAGGATTACCAGGAGAGAGAGGAAAAGGGGTTTTCTTATTCATTGATTCATGCATGCGATTGCGGCTGTTTACAGTATATGGATGGAGGTGTCCTTTGTTCTCCCACGACGGCCGGTTCTGATGTCTCCTGATCCTTCTGGTGACGGATTGTACTCGTGGCTATGATTGCGTCTTCACCATCTCTTTTACCTGTGCTTTACGCACCATCACAGACAGATAGAAAATGCGAAAAAAACAAGTCTTCCCTTTCGACAGTCGCACTTGCTTGAAACGTGCAACGGTACGGCTACTGTGCGACTCCTAAAGATCATCTACACAGGCAAGCTGTCAGAAGTAGTGACAAGTCGTAGTGATTCAGGAACCCCCATACCACCGACAGACCAACGGCACCTGAGATCAAAGTCTGTGGGTGTGCCAACCACCTTGCCGAGCCCTTGATCAAAACCGTAGTGCGTCGGGTCAACGAGTCGATATCAGCTCGAGAAGTAAAAGGCAGAAAGCGGACTCTCTATTAAGTATTACATGCCATCTTGCACGATCATGTTTGCCCTAATGGCCGAGCGCGCTGTCTCCGATAAGAGAAGCTGACGCGGGGTATCGGTACAACAAGGGGAGGAGGAGTGGGTATTTGAGCGAGTAACAACGACAACGACAACGACAACAAAGCAAAGACCAGGTATCAATCCGCTATCCTCCACGTCGGACACACACGACGGAAAGAGGGGGTGTACCAATCAGGTGTGGCTGGTGGAGACGAAGGAACCAACGCGATGAGGGAGGGTATTATGCAAATGAAATCGCTGATGTCCAGGGGTATTGACCATTTTTCTGTACTCTCATCGGGACATCCACTTTTAGGCGGCAGCTGAAACCGGAGTCTGCTCGTGGGTTCCAGTCATGTTTCCGATCTCGCCTTCGGTCATTGCTGGCTTCTCGGCGAGGGTCTCACCGGCGTTGGTCGCATCGGCTGGGGTGTCCGTCGGGAGCGGAACGTTGGCGGCATCCTTGCTGGCTGCTGGGGAGGAACCCTTTTGAGCACGGCTTGCTTTTCGGAGGAGCCCACCAAATCCACTGGAGGATTGCTTCTTGCCCTCGCCGTCAGTCAATTCGTTGTCGGATGTGCCCCCAGTCCTCCGCTCCTTCTTCGTCCCGAGGTTGCCGAAGAAAGAGGTGCGACGCTTATCGGTAGGAGAGATAGGAGAGGTAGCGGCCGCTGGTGTGGTTGCTTCAGCGGCTGTAGCAGGGGTTTCTGTGGTGGCTGCGGTGGTCTCAGCAGTGGGCGAGGTCACAGGGCTGTCAAGTTGCGGTGCGGTGGATGACAAAGTAGACTGCTCGTCCTTCGCCGGAACAGCTGATGGGACCTCCGTTGAAGCGGGGGTTGCAGCATCCTTCTTGCCAAAGATACTACCGAAGATTGAGTTTCTCTTGTTTGGCTTTGGTGCAGTCTCCCGAGTGGAGGAGGCTGGGGTGGTCTCGGCAACGGTAGATTCTGCACCAGCGACCGGTGCCACGCCTGAGGCACCGACACCAGTGGCGGCTTCTTCAGCAGGAACGACAGGCTCCCCAATAACACGAGATGCTATGAGAAGTTAGACTGAATACAGTGGAAGGGGAAGATATCGGGTTACTAACCAACAGCAACGGCGTCAAAGTCGCCAGTCTTAGCAACACCCTGTTGCTTGGCCTCCTTCTCAACGCGCCTATCCTCCTTGGCCTCTTCCTTCAATTCCTGCTTCTCAGCCATTTTCTCGGCCTTGTCTTCGTGCTTGATCTCCTTCGCGACAGCTTTATCCTCTTTTTGAATGGCTTTGTCTTCCTTCTTCTCGGCCTTCTCCTCCTTCTTGAGCTCCTTCATGTCGGCTTTGTCTTCTCTCTTGATCTCCCTCTTAATGGCCTTGTCTTCGGCCTTGTCTTCCTTCTTTTCCTCTTTATCTAGGTTCTTGTCCTCCTTTTTGCCTAGGAGGCCTCCGAATATACTGGAACGTTTGTTGTTGCGAGATTGAGAGCGGTTCTTCTTTGCCGCCTTGGATTTCTCTTCCTCGGAGGTAGAGCCATTTCGAGCCGCGGCTGCGCCAGCAACAGCACCCACAGCAGCACCACCAGCAGCGGCCTCACCGACGTGTTCGCCGGTGGTCGCACCGTTAGCAGCGCCTGTAGTCGTGCCAGAGGTCGTACCAGTGGTCGAGTCCGCGACAGGGTTGGGAGCGTCGCCGGTGGTGATGCCGGTCGCTGTCTCAGGCGTTGTGTCGAACGCAGCGGCGGCTGCCTCAGGAGTGGTGTGGGTCGTAGTGTCTTTGGTCCTACGTTCGCGGGATTTGCTAGCCATCATTCCTCGAGATCGAGAGCGAGAAGTACCAGTGGTGGCAGCGGCACCAGCACCTATGATATATCAGCATGCGCATCGTGCAAGCTATCCTAATGAGCCAACATGCCGTATTTCTCAAGCTGACTCTTGTAGCCAGAGCTGCCAACGATGCCTTCACGTGCAGTCTTGGCTTCAGCTGCCTTGGTCTCGATTGTCACCAACCAGGCATCCTTCTCTGACTTATTGATGGCTTGGAAATTGTGCTTGTGGCCATTGAGACTGAATCCAAAGTCGTTGAAGTTGCCCTTTACCACGTCGGTAACATCGGCCTAGGGTGTACAGACCACGTCAGTAGGCTAATCCTTGAACGGGTAGGTAGGATACTGACCAGATTGAACATGCCTTGGGGATGACCCTTATCCTCAGCGCGCTTAGCGTAGAAGAGAAGACCTTTACCCGTTTGGCTGGCATGTGCAGCGTTGGGATGTGCGATGTCCTTTGACTTCTCGTTGCTGAGGTATCCAGAGAGGTGTCCATGTTCCAAGGGTGCATCGCTGAGCCAGAAGTACTTTTTGGAGAAGATGAGACCCCTAAGCGAAGGAAGGCGCCATGTTAGATATGCATCAAACCTTGGCGAGAGCGAATAAGGCTTACTTGAGGCCAGGACCTTTGTAGTTCAGAACGCCCTCATTGATTGGGTGAGACTCGACCATGACCTCCCCCTTTCCAACCTTCTCCTCCTTGGTCACATTGCTGACATTAGGGGCAGTAGGAGCAGCGGCCGTGGCACCATCGGTCACTCCATTCATCCCTAATTCTGGTCGGGACTCAGGGGACAAGTCCGAGGTGTTTTGATCTCGAATGGGGTCACTGGTAGCTTGGGACGCAGTTGCAGTGATGGGCACTTGCCCTGCCAAATGCTGCTCAGTAGCTGCAGACATGGTTGTATATTTGATGTTCTTGTCTGATGTGAAAAGGTGTCAAGTTGGATGGTTAAGGGTTCAGTGTGGTTGTGCGATTGACTCGTTGATGGATTTATCAACAAAGGCAAAGCTTTTGTTTTGTGTAGGGTATAGGTATCTCTAGGACACTAAATCAGTGAATAGAGAATGAAAAGAAGGAGGACAAGTTGATGCAGAGTCAATGGAGGTGAAGAAAATGTTGAGAAGTTGGAGTTGAAGTGTGCCAAATGAAGGGAGAAGGGAGATTGTCTCGAAAGCTTTTTGGGTTTGGATTTTTTTATTTGGAGACGCGAAGGCGCTAAGATTGCTTGCTTTTAACTAGCGGGAAATGGGAGTAGTAAAGTACCTACCTTAAGGTAATCTCGGGTACGCTAGTATCATAGCCGATGCCAAGGTCAAAGTCTCGAGGTCTCCTTGCAGTTTGATTCGGCGAGCACTGCTGCTTTGAAACAGAGGATACTGTACTGTAAAAGTATCAAAAGTGAGAATTAATGTCGGGGATAACTCTGCAAGTCATAAAAGGATATTAATACAATTGCCCATATCTACGGAACCCTATCTATCCACTCTGTCCCAGAAATGGTCCAAGCATATTTTATCTGCGAACATATGGTGAAAAGAGACCTTGGTCGCATGACCGCCGCCCTCGCTGACAAGCATGAGGCGCATTGTCACTCTGCAGGTCAGTAGGCATGTGGCCATGTGCTCAACTCCTCCAACGAGTGAGTGGACTGGCAGGTTGTGTGACCCGCAACGTCCGCTATCTCGACTTTCACTTTACAGACAGACACTTCTTTTTTCATCTCGATCTCCACAGCCAATGATAATGTACACAAATTCCCGATAGCCTTATCTATCTACATCCAGACTTTTGCAGACTAGTCTGCGAAACATCCATGCACAAACGCTGGTAACCCATCAAAACAGGATCCGTTCGTCACGTTCCTCTCACAAGACTTTCACATATGGCCTTGCCTTCCTGCGTCTCGAACTATCCACTCGGGATTTTAGCCTTCCTAAAACTCCTGGCGCTATGCGAAAGATCGACCCTGACCCATGGACACCCCTACCCCAAAACCTCAGGTGCGTTTGCCTTTGACGGGCTATCATACAGCAGATTTCATCCACTCGTGAGCAGCATGTACCTGAAAAAGGTGAGCAAAATGTTGATCGAATTAGATGTTCGGAACTTACTTGGTAATGGCGTCCATTCTCTCGCTTGTAAGTTTGAGGGTTATCTTCAGCAACTCCTGTGAGATGTCCGAGTGCTGATCCTGCATCTTCCTCCATTGATCATCGTCCAGCATCCACGTGACGCAATTCCTCTCTGCGTAAGTCGTCGATGTCCTCTCGGTAGCTGAGAAAAAGGGAAGCTCTCCACAAGTCGTGCCAGCCACAATGAGCTCTGAGTATTTGCCTTGGGGAAAGTCGTACTTCGCTTTGAGCATGCCCCTTTCCAGCAGGTAGAAGCCATTGGGCCGATCGCCGGGATTGTAGAGCACGGTTCCAGCGGCATACTCCTTGCGTACGAAAAACGACGCCGTCTTGTACCAGAAATCTTCATGCTTATTGGAGACGGTCGAAAAGGTCTGCAGAATGAGCTGTAGAGGTTGGTGATAGTCCTGCCATCTTTGAGGTGGTGCAGGGTTCTGTTCGCTGAGAGTCGCTGTGGCTACCTGGTGCAGATGATGCCTTCGTGGGGAGTTGAAGATAGTATCCGAAGATGGTATACTGGTCTGCTCTGGCTTCGGCACTTCTGTGCAGGCATTAGTAGATTCACTCAGCAGCTTTAGAGCAGGCTTACCCAGGAAAGCAGGAGTCGACTCTGTCTCTACCTCGAGATCCTGCTGATGATAGAACGCCTTCAAAAGCTCATTCTCGCAGTACTCCAGCGCCGAATTGAGACTCCTAGAGTAGTAGACGCCGTCATCATCGTCAAAGAGTCCTACATTACGGAGGCTCTTGCCAACATCGCTCTTCATCTCGAGACCGCACATGACCAATTGAACTCCCTGTTGAATGAGTAGCCTGTTAGTCCGCTTAAAGGCTTCTCCGGCCGAGAAGTCGACGCCGTCCACGTTGTATAGATCGAGTACAAGGAAGCGGATTGGTTGTTTTCGAAAAGACTCTTCCCGCAGCAGTTCCCGGATCTGCTTCTCAACGCCCACAATGGTACCGAAAAACAGATAGCCTGCAAGCTTCATAACGTGAACTTGTTTGCCAGCTTCAAGCAGGAAACGCTGCTGAATTGGATGTCTCCGAACTGTCGAATTTGCCACGCCTCCGTAGAGCTTCCCACGGATGGCAGATACTTGGGATGTTTGGAGGACAAAGCTGACACAGGCCAATACGATGCCCACAAGAATACCGACGACAAAGTCATAGGCTCCCATAGTAACGACGATAATAAGGATCTGTAAATGGTAAGCTCGAGTGATTCACCATAGTAAAGTGGAAGGCAACGTACGGTAAGATATTCGAGGCGGTGCACTTTGCCCCATGTGTCTACCAGGGCTTCCTTCATTAGATCCAGTCCCAAATAGAATATGAGTGCGCCAACGACCATGATCGGAATAAAGCCGATGATGATTGGTCCGATGACAAGTATACCAAAGGTTGCAGCGGCCAACATCACACCAGCAATTCGACTGTCCCCTCCACTTCTCATAAACAGCACTGAGTTCGTGTATACGAGATAATTCTGTTCTGTAGTCAGCGAAGTGCTTCAGCCGCACAACCAAGAAAGAAGTACCTGGATACTCCCGCAAAATCCCGACAGGGCGTTCGATATGCCATGTGCTCGGAGCTCACGGTCAACGTCGACGTTGTCCTCTCCAGTCGACAGACCTAAAGCTGGAATGTTGATGGGAACATGGAGGACCCCGAAAAAGGTCAATGCAAGCATTGCAGGCACCGATGATAAAATGGCCCTCCAGTCCGTTAGTCTCCAATTGTAGAGCTCGTAGAAAGAATAGAAAGGTTTCCCAGCGTCTGGTGCAGCAAATATCCACCCTCTGTTGCGTAGTTCGGGTATAGTGAGTTCTTCAATGGCGGCAACGTAGAAATAGAACACTGCAATGATGGACAAGAAAAATGTAGCGTCTGTCAAGGGATGCTTCATCCATCGTTTCGCGTTTTGAAGGACGATAGCCAGGATCAAAGGTATGATCCAAAGAGCCACGGTATCAGACCGGAAGAGCTTTTGCAGGGTCGGTATGTTGTACTCCAAGTTGCCGTCAAGCCTCGCAGAAACCTCCAATCCTGTCGCAACCAGAAACCATCCAACACCACCAATGCATCCGATCAGAATGTGTCGAGGGAAAAAACCGATCAGGGACCCAAGCTTGCATAATCCCATGATGTAGAAAACCGCCCCTGTGAGTACGGAACTCATGGCGTAAGCAGCAATCGTAGTGGCGAGCACAGCGGCCTTTTTGTCTTCGCCCTCGCCCACCTTTGCGAGAATGGTGAATGCCATCTTATGAAAGAAAGGGACAACTTCGATCTTGAAATTTGTTAGCACTGTATCCTCTGAAGTCTGAGCGGGTTCTACCATTTCGGAGCCTATCCCTCCTTTGAAGATGCTACCGCCGAGAGAATATGTTAGCTGCGAAACAATGCAGCTGACATAGAACATTGAGATTCCCTCGGGTCCGAGACCCGTGAAAGTAGCATTGCCGAGAGGGAATAAGATCATGCCTGACCCAAAAATCAGCGACTTGCTCTGACAGGTACTCAATTTTTCTTGACTCACCGTAAGACAGAGCATCAAGGATGTTAAGTAGCAGTCCAAGTATCACAGGAGGCACAAAGCTAGCTGGTTGGCGAAACCCATACTCCAATACATGCTGCCGATCCCATGACTTAGGGTTGGAGGCAACTCTGAAGATACGAGTGCTCTGTTCTCTGGATCGTTGCAAGACGGCTCTTATCTGATTTGTCGGCTCAGGTTTAGCTACCAGCTGACCCTCAAGATCTTTAATTGAACCATAAGCGGTTCTCTTACCCAGTAGTGTTGTCCGCTCACTCGGTTGTGAGATGATTCCCTCCCGAACAGTGACTGGGTGCACGCCTGCAGTAGAAGGGGATTCGTCTTCGTCTGTCCCGTGGCTGTCTTCTTCGGTTGGAGGAGAGTTTCTTATCAACTCAGTCAAAGCTGAGTGGCACTGTGATTTTTGTGACGAATGCGAGCTTTTGGGAGATGTGGGCTCGGAGACCTCTTGGATAGCCTCTGGACGGGAAGAAGTATTTGAATCATGACGGATTAGATCATCTTGGTCTAACTGACTGCTTAGGTGAGAGTGGTGCTGTGCTGTAGAGGGAGTGTGATGTCGTGAGGGGGAATGCTCGCTGCGGTTCGAGGCAATGTAGGACAGAGCCCACGACGCGAGTTCTGCAGTATCCTCTCGTACACCTTGCGAGGCATTTCTTGTGACATTGAACGGAGCTGTCGACATTTAGTACGCTACACTTGGTAGAGTCTGAATGGTTTGGAGCGCACCATGGGAGTCTTGGAAAGAGTGTTGAAAATACGATCTGGCGGGTGTTTTCTGGTTCAAAGAAGAGGAAAAGGACATCCTTGAGGGAGAAGACTCGTTTCGTTGGCGAAAGAACCCACTGGCACGGTCCTCAATTTCGTCCGTGCCTTCATGGTCACTGCCGTCCGCACTGGAGGGCATAGGTTCTTGTCCACGGATTCGAGCAAATTGTGATCCACTCCTGTTCCTGCCACTACCAATCGACTGATTGCCTGGCATTTCCAACGTTCTCTGAGAGTCCTACGAGCGCCCCACGTTCCGGGGTCTCTTGGATCCCAACAGATTCCAACAGGTTCACGACATAAGGCGTGATACGTGCAGATGCATGGCGATGTGAGCAAGCAAATGACTGGATGTGCCGCAAGAACGGCAACCCGAGACTTGCAGGGTAAGCAGAAAAAGGCCAAAAAGAGATTGAATGAAGAAGGGAAGAGAAGAGAATGTGGTAGTGTACTCCATCATGCCTTTGAGTGAGTCGATTTACTTTTCGAATTTTGCGGTTTGCTTAGTTGCTAGTTAAGGGTACCCCACTACAAGTTTAAGCTCGAGATTTTTTTCCCAGTTTTACCTTTCCCCACCAACCCCTCAGCGCCGCCATACTTTAGTGTAGCTGGGATGCATGCGGAGAATGCATACCTAGGTAGGTATCATGCATGTTCAGAGAGTATGTCGGGGTGATCTCGCCGCTGCATAATCGGGAACTGTGAGCACTGTATGTAGGTGAAAAGAATTCGATAGCAATTGTCCTATTATTTGGCATCGCCTCTCCTTCGCCTACTTGTACGCACCAAGTGGGGAAGACCTTCCACTTCCCCTAGATTCCGTACCGTCGGATGGCATTTATGGCGGTCTGATCAATGCTTTGCATTGAAAGATCTTTCATTCGACACGCACAGCAAAGCGTTGCTTCTGCTGTCATCCATCGTCACTCGAAAACAATTGCAGTGAGTCGGCTGCCGTCCATCTCCGGTTTTCCTCGCAGACAGAATACCCCGCCTCTCATGCATAATGCAGGCTCTAAAATGGGCGTCGCTAGGGATGTATACCTCACTCGCGCCAGTGCTAGCCAAAGCCGTTGAAGGCAACACCCGTAGATCAGTGCGGAGTAAAAGCTACGGAATGACTTTGACATAAGTCGAAGGAGCTTTCTTTGGATGTCAGATATTGGGTTGCTCCATGGGGAATTTTAGGCTCACCTTGCCGCTGTAGCACCGAAGATCGACAGTCAAGCCGTCCACCTTGTAGGTACTCCAGCACTGGAGCAATGTCGCGTAGTCTTTAGCTTAGCTTTTGCAAATATCCCTGAGCGATCAATCGTTCGACATCCCCCTGCCTCACAAAAAACTGGCTATTCTTCGTCAACGTGATAGCCCTGACAGCTGTGCATTAGTACCTCCACTCCCAACATGGTGTCCTATGGGGAAGACAAGCATACCCATACTCAGTCTGAATTTCCCCAGCATCCTTCAATACCCTCACATCAATGAACAGATCTCGTGGGGGTTCCAAGCTCCCCGTCAAATCAATATCCGTCCATTGCCCTTTGTATGCTGCCAGCATGTCCCCATATTGGCGAATGTACTCCTCCTCCTCCGGACTCAGCGAGCTCTGATTCCCTGCCTCTGAAGCCATGCCTGACCCTTCTCCATTGCCCTGCCGGCCAGCCTGTTGCTCTTGATCCAGAATATCCTTACCACTCCAGCACATCTCCTCGAGCTTGTCAGATCGGACTCGATGGTAGGCAAGGAGACACCGCTTGTTACGGCGCATGCAAAGATGATTGACCAGGACAGAACATGCGGTGGCTGGTTCAGAGGAGGGGTTGAAGGAGCCTTCGAAGGGAGCCAGGATGTTGGAAACGTCTTTGTCGAGGTCACGTACTTCGCGTGTCGTTTCTCGGACGAGCTCGGTCTGATAGTGTGGTAGATGAACTAAGGCCTGTGTTCTTTTGGCATGTTGGACCTGGGGCGGTAGTCTTCAGTACCCTTCCAATTGTTTGTACTTCTAATGTGGGGAGAACTCACAAGCTTGAAGGCATCGTCACCATACATGGTGACTTTTGAATCAATCTTTAACCCAGCCAAGCGTATGCACAGTTGCTCAAAGCTGTAAGATCCACCTCATCTTTGCCATGGATGCCAAATGCTGTAATGGTATGCTTGGCAGTCGCGAAACAAAATCTCGCGTCTTCACGAACAATGCCAAGACCGGGCCTACTCTACCCGCAAGCCGAAAATCACTTGGCAAGGATATAGACATCAATCACTTTGTCCATCGATTCTTGTGCCATTGCGCCATATATAAATTGTGTTCCGACACACAGCAGCCAATGACGGCAGCACCTTTGATTGGCTCGAAGGCCTCTCCTTTTCTTGCAGAAAGATAGTATTTATTAGGATGTCGAAATGAAAATCCTCTGGTACTCTGTTGGTAAGAAGTCCTATTCCCACAAGCCGTTGTCGAGATTCTCGACGACTCTTTGCAAACTACCTAGACTAGCTCTACTTTGCCCACACTATGTCTTATGTCATACATGAATAATCCTTCGAACCCTGGTACTCGTGCCTTTGTCCATCGTCCAACACACTCCTCTCCAGCCTTGAAACCTAGAGCAAGATAGACGGTGGCGTATCAGGATATAGCGATGGACTCTTTTCTGTACCATGCTCCTTAGACTTTCTCTACGAGTAGGCTTTTCTTCTTGAGAAGGACATGCTTACGGTAGTCTAGAGGGGGGGTATGCCGTAATGAGCTTGCGATATGATTGGCCCCCGAAGCGAGGAACGAGTGTAGGGCTGGCCATAGGGTACCCCGCTAAGCGAGTCTGAATTACTGAGACTAGGTAGGGCAGACCTGAGAAGCATTGACGTCCGCCACGATCTTCACAAGATATCGGCCCTACTCTGCTTAGTCATAAGACAACTGGAACATTCCGGAGAGCCGGAGAGCGACAATGGAAGCATGCTGTCGGGAACCTGCAGTATCAAAGTAATTGTCTTGGTTATGCTTGCTCCACGTTCCGTGGACCTGCCCGCTGAGCTGTTGACACCCGTTCACAAAGTCTACTCCGATAGGCGCAAAGTGCTCCGCTGACATGACGTCCCACGCGCGTTTGACAAGCTGATCTTAAAATTCCTGAAGCTTTGTTTCGTGGTTCGAAAGGGTCCTTAGTCCGTCAGAGGGAATGGTGTGGAGGGATGAGGCCCTTGTTGCCAGGAAACTCAGCAGAAAAGGGTTGGAGACCGGAGTGATGAAAGACCGCTTAATGCGCTATTCAATGCTCCGATTTCTTCGCCGAATTGGCGCATGACTAGGTGGAGTAGGATTTGGAAAGTCTTATTATAAATTCGATTTGCAAAGAGAACTCTATAACACCAGCGACAGCGCCTTCTATAAATGGATAAGAAGACCAGGGTATCTCCCTCCGCCCAAGAAATGAGGATACCATAGATGCCCCAAGACAACTCCGGTCAGGCAGGGTTTCAACTCAGGTGAACTCACGACCGATCTCTTTGTTGGGCAAACCACTCATCAGACCCCATCTCCGGTTCTGCGTCCTCATGCTCGCTTTCGAAGTCGTTCAGAACGGGCGAATATGCTGGCGTCTGGTATTCTCCGGCCTGGATGCTCATCGAATGATTGATATGTTCGTTACCACTGGTACTAGGATATTGAGGATGGCTTTGATCATAGCTTGCCAACATTGGGTCAAGCTGTGAATTGCCGCTCATCATCTGCTGTCCGCTATCCTCGCCCTGGAGCTCGTGATGATATGCACCTGGAATCCCTATCACTGGCAGTGCCGGGTGATGGTACTCGGATGGACCGTCGATCGGATGAACGAAGACATCCTCGACATGGCCAAGATGGGCCATCCTTTGATTCGGATGGCTTGTCGTCTGGTAGTATTGGTTGTGAAGAGCTTGCTGGTTCAAAGCGGCAGGCAGAGGCTTCCCAGGATTATGTGTTTGGTAAGAGGACGGATGATGAAAAAGTTCCGCGGCGTCGAAACCATTGGGGTCGTACTCGTCAAGGGATGTTCCGCTTGGCGTGTAGCTGGTTTCACGGTAAGGCCTTTTTGATTTCTTAGGCTTCAGTGACCAGCCTGCTCCATTTGGTGCATATGTATAGTCCGAGCCATTGTCGCTTAGCTCGTCTTCTGAATCACCTGCTCTTCCTTTGCGCTTGCGGTTCGTGGCCTTGGCTGTTTGTGGCTGGAATTTATAGTCCGGGAATGCTTTGGCGTGATTCTCTCTTTCGACCTTGGCCCACGCATCAAATTGCTTCCGAATTTCTGGAGGCTCCATCGCCCAGCTCTCGCCAGCAAGCGAAGATATTTTCTGGTGATTGGGCGACTTCTCCCATGCTCTGGCTCTGTCTGCGTATGCGGATCTGTACAGGATGAAGGAGTTCGAGGGACGCTTCACGAAGTTATCTTTCTTTGCCTCCTCTCTCCTATCTTCTACAGATCTGTTGACCCAGGTCTCCGTGTCTTTGATCTGGATGTTTATCATATCCTTTGTCAACTCACTGAGCGGACCACTAAGTGTCTTTGTTTTCACAGTATTCTTCTTTCGGGCAGCCTTCCGCGGTCTGGGGGAGCCTGAAGGATGGCGAGAGCCGGCGCCTAATCGGTTCTGCCTCGTTGATCGTGGTTGTGGCGCGCTTTGATCAGCCATCTCTGGTGTAGGAGGCGCTCTACCATGGATCATCGGGTTGGGGTATTGCTGTATGAACCGATCAATCTTCTGTTGATGCAGGACGGCTGCATTTGGACTTACGTGCTGCTGTTGGAGAGCATAAGGGTTGTACACACCCTGTTGCTGAGGATGGAAGACCTGCTGTCCGTATGCATCCTGCTTTTCATTAGCCTCTTCGCGTCGTCCGCCTTGAGACTTGCCAACCTCTTGGTGCGACTTACGAAACTCATATCCACGCCGAGGCCGTTCTGTTCCTGGTAGAGGCGAAAGCTTTTGTTGCCGTACTGGTCCATATACCACTGGCCAATCTCTGGCTCTGGAGTGTTATCGAATGAGGTGGCTCCAGAAGGTATATATGGGCTGTTGTCCAAGGCATATATGTTGGCTTGGTGCTCGCCTCGGGCGTTGTGCTGCACCAGGTGACCGAAGCCATCCTGAAGCTGGCGGCCGTCGACACTTGGAGGCGTTGGCGGAGGCTGTTTTACCATAGCCGCCACAGACATGATTGACGTATGGACGAGCCCGGATTGGAGCTTGCGTTATCCTGAGAATATGCCTGACTATTGTTGAGCTGGTTGGAATTTACCCAAGTACTACGTCGCCAAAGAGCGGTGTGTTCCCGACTTGACTGCCGCGTGTGAGTAACCTCTTCCCTAGTGTCTTAATTGGTAAATCTACCGATTGGCGTAGTCTCCAGATGCCCTATTCAAGGTGCTGCTCGATATGCCTAAGTTCTGAAGGGTTGCGGAGCTCACGTTGTCCGATAGAATTGTTGTTGACCGAAGTATGGAAATTCTGGAGGCTGGAGGTCTCAATCTTGTGTCAGAGATGTGGATCATGGAGGAAATAGAGGATTGACAAGGAAGTGGTCTCATCATGAGGTGATGAGTAGAACGCACCTGTTGCGGACATCTGGATTGCGGTCTTACCATGCCAACTCCGGATGCAGCAATCGGGAAGTGCAGCTCCAAGGCTTCTAGAAGTTATGCAGGCCCCAAAGCGGCGACGGTCACTACCCGCCAGATAGTCTTTGTCCGTTGCTGTCGACCCTGATTGCCAACACTGCCTACAGGAAGGAAAAGTTGGCGGCAGGGGAGGACTTCCTTTGTCCATAGGCAAACGGTGGCCATAGAGGTTAGAGGTGATGTTGGGACGATGTCCGCCGGAAGGAGTACAGTATGCTTCCAGCCCAGAGCCTCTTCGCCGGATCTGTCGACTAGACCATCTAATTCTTTCAAGCCAGTTGAAGGCTAAATGTGACTTCTATGAAGCTGATCTCAGCACCGAATGCATGATAGGCTTCAACCAATCATTGCAGGCATCACTGTACAGCTACCACGGTATCCTCCAGTGCGGTGGGAATGATCCAGAACGGAGCCCTGCTCTACTAGTGTGGCGCTAAATAAATGTGTTGACTGAACTCTGGGATCCACGACCATGGCATTCTCCCTCCCCAGTGTGAATATAGGATTGCGTGACATTCTCTGACACCTTTACAGCTAGCCTCTCCAAGTTGGGAGATCAGCAGCAGAGTCAACTCCAAGTCGATGCGTGCAGTTGGGATACCACATGTTTTACGGGTCAAGTTGACCATTCTGGCAGGGTGCTACAACGTGCACATTCCTCGTTTCTTCATGCGGACTGCAGTTCGTCCTTTTGGCCCCCAAAAGTTACCAAAACGAAAGCAGTCCAGGCTATTCTCCGATACGCTCAACAAGCCGCCATATCCTCAGCAATCGCAGGGAAAATGGTCCACTAATGCGAGGATGCGACTGAGACAGGGGTCAGGACGGATAGTGGCAGCATCGGGCTAGACCATAATTGATAGCACAATGTTGTTCAGACGTCGTCTGTTTACTTCCTGACTGACATTGTGACTTTAGCACGTTTCGAAGGTTGGTTGACGATGATCTCTCTAATGCTTGCGTCCAAGCAGCCGGAAAGCATATTAGACGCTCGCGTTCACTAGTCAGCTGGCAGCGGACGGCAGCGAGTTCACGGTTTTGAAACTTCTGATAGGTGGCCATCAGAGCCGGACCGTCTAGCGATGCCGTTACCAGCCTTCGTCAATGGCTTGGACCTCACAGTTTCTAACCGTCCACCGAGGAAAATTTTGGCGGAAGTTCAACGTTCCCAGTCGGGTGTTTTACCTGGAATGTAAGTGGTGCGCGCCATGCCGAAAACGTCGAGTTGTGGCACTAGAGACAAATTCATTCTGCGATAGGTAGGTCATGAATAACAAGAAGAAACTTGAGGCTGAATTTCGCTTCTAAGCATTCAGATTGATTCTGATCATGAGCAATTCATGTTACGACAAAATGCAAGGCTACAAGTTCCATCGGAGATTTTGT